CAGACTGCAATGAATAGGCCTCCGATATTTGCAGTGTCAGACACTTTTATTTTTCCCAGATAATGAGCAATCAGTTGAGATGGCTCCATCAAGAGAACCTGACAGCCCCCCACCTCTCGGCGTTGTGGATCTGTCATGCGCAAGAGCTACAAATGGGTAGCTCTACAAGGCTGACTTTAATCTGAACAGCGGCAACAGAAGAAATCGCTAGCAACTGGGGTCCCGTGTCGTCATGCAGGTTTTAATTGGTCGTTAGCTTGCAGAAAACCCCTTTCTTTTCTCCTGCAGCCCTCACTCCGTTAGCTCTGCCTGAATACGTGCGCTTGCTGAGAGAAACGAAACCTGTGCATTCTGGCTTGGAACCACAAAAACCCCCCGAATTGTTCAGACCTGCATGTTTCTTCAGCGTTTTCTCTCAATAGTGGGTTCCAGCTACATAGTTGGTCCTTTTTAGTTTTGTGTTCTACTTGTGTCCATTCAGTAAGGGCCTTGCTAATTGCTGTGAGCAGTGGGAGCTATTCAGCTGTGCTTGGGGTGGAAGAGCGAACGGACCCGGTTGGAGCCTGGTGTTCCTGTCGGCCCCACCAGCGAGTGCTGACAAAGGGAGCCCTTGAGCTGCAGCAGGCAGCTGATATCTGCACACACACACACCCCGAGCCCTCTCTCCCCCCCTCCCTGGGCGGACAGAGCGCCCGCGATGGAGGCGATGGAGGGAGTCTCCTAATTACTCTCCTGCTGCCCCAGCCTGGGCCCTTCAAGTCTGCCCTTGAACAGAACCTCTCTTTTTCTGAAATCGCTGCACAGGCAGGTGGGGGGGGGTGTTGAGGGGCGGGCTTGTTTACAAGCCGGTGAATGTGGTTAGTGTTTCCTCTGCGGTGAGATAAGTTTCGGCGAGCTCTGGATCGGCCTTGCGAGACGAAGGCCTGCTCAGGGTGACTCTGTTCTTCCGTGAAGGTGGGAGCTGCAGTGGTCTTGGCAGAACCTGAAGCCCGCTGAAGCAAACGGGATGCTGTTCGCCCTTGTCTTAGAGTTATCTGCACTGGAGTCCCCCCCAGACCACAGCGTGTTACCGAGGCTCCCACTGGCACGGGTTGGGCCACACAGATCCGAAGGGAGGAGAGACCGTCTGCTTAACTGATGTTTACCACATTCACTCCTAAGAACAGCATGTTGGAAAATGTGGAATCTCTTTTCAGCGTGCTTTCCCAGTGTACATGGGCTCTTCAAGCTGTGCTTTGGGATTATCGGGTGGGGAGACCGGTGGACAGTCAGTTAGCTGGAATAAGAGAGCAGGACGATCCGGCGCAGAATGGGTGTTGAGCTCGCAGGAAGCAGTCCCCACCTCGTGACTGGCACTGTGTCCGTGGGTAAAGAGAAAGCAGGCCGTCGGATGAGCCTCCCTTTGCTGTGTTGGGCTCCAGTTCCATTACCCAGGGGAGTGGAGAGAGTGGGAGGCGCCCCTCGGTGTTGGCAGGCTGGGAAGACTTAGGTTGCAAGGTGATGATCCTGTTGTTATGACGTTAGGATCCTGCATTCTGTGTGCTGATGGTTGTCCGCAGTGCCCCAAGAAAATTCCTGTGGTGATGCGGTTTGTTTTTCCCCATAAACAGGGCTATGCCAAATAGTTATACAGCATGCAGGTATAGGAGCGATGTTTGTCTGCTGTCACACTGAGGGTGTAGCTTTCTCAGCCATGAGGCAGTGCTTTCACAAAGAGCAGGCAGGCTGCTGCGCTTTGATGAGCAGAGATTGGCGATCGGAGGATCGGAGAGAAAGAGACACGCCGATGGAGTCTTCCAACTCCTTGGGCCGTCTGTTATTCCTGGGGGTTTTGGATAAGCAGGAGAAGGAAGTGTGCATCCAGAGAAGCCAGCATATTGAGTTTGTCAGCTGCGAGCTGATGTACCAGGCAGCAGACACTGTCTCCAGCTGCAGAGCCTTCCCAGAGAAAGGAGACAATATTGAGCTGCCGTCAAGCCACACACACAGATCAGGAAGTGGTTTAACGGAGGAGACAATGATCTGGTTATGGCTGCCAAAAGGCCATGAATGAGTCAGGGAATTTCAGGGCAGACAGAGGAGCAGTATTCTCTCTGCCCTCACTGGTCCCAGGTTCTGCAGAGTTTTGTGCCTGGCCTGGCGTTGTTCTGCGATGTTTTTCCACGTGTGTGAAATTCAGCAAGATAGGGTTTCTGTGCGATTGGCATAGCCTCGGTCTGTATTCTGCGTCAACATCTGGTAAAGCTGTAAAACTGGCGATTTTATTGAGGTTTTTCACAGCTTGGCAGTGCTTTACCTTGGAAGTGCCAAAGTGATCTCAGCAGTTGCCAGGGAGTTGCTGTGTGCGCAAATCACAGGCACACCTGTTGGCTGTTAATTAACAGGGAACTCGTCAGTTATTCATTAACCTCGCAGTAAAATCTGATTTCTGTTGGAACCCTTCTAAAAATACCTTCCTTGGCCCTTCCTTCTCAGATCCAAACAAAAGAAGGTGACACCTTCTGTCGCAACATTACCTGGGGAGGGGATGAGATTGTCCTTTGTAGCCTGTGAACTGGAAAAGACAGATATTTTGGGTCTCAGTCATGCTGTCGTCAGAGCGAGTTCTGCCTTTAAATGGCGTGGCCCTCTGCCCCCTGCAAGGGTGCCCTGGTGACTCCGTGTGGCCAGCCCTGTAGAAACCCGAGCGTCTTGTTTTGGAGCAGGAGGGTGTCGAAACTTTGTCAGTGGAGACCTAGCACACCTTTGTCGCACAAACTGTGATCTTCCCAGTGTCCCAGTCACAGCAGTTTAATTCAATAAATAATAATAATAATAATAATTGCTTACACTTATATAGCACTTTTCGGGACACTCCACTCAAAGCGCTTTACAGGTAAT